AGCTCTCACTTACAAATGAGAACATTGTGGCATTTGATTTTCTGTTTCTGCCTTAATTTGTTTAGGATAATGGCCTCCAGCTGCATCTATGTTGCTGCAAGGGATATAATTTTATTCTTTTTTATGGCTGCATAATATTCCACGACATATATGTACCACAATTTCTTTATCCAGTCCACTGTTGGTGAGCACCTAGGTTGATTCCGTGTCTTTGCTATTGTGAATAGTGTTGTAATAAACACACAAGTGTGGGTGTATTTTTTGTAGAATGATTTCTTTCTTTCCTTTCTCTCTCTCTCTTTTTTTTTTTTTTTTTTTTTTTTTTTTTCTCTCTTCTCTTTTCTTTTTTTTTTTTTTTTTTTTTTGAGACATGGCTTTGCCTTGCCATGTTGACCAGGCTGATACAACGATTTCTTTTCTGAATGTGCCATACTCTGGACTGCCTCCCAGCCTTGGCATACATCTCTGCCTGGAATACTCTTGCCCCCACGCTTGACCTGGCTAACTCCACCTTATCTTTCAGGTCTCAGCTGAGACAACACCTGCTCTGGGAAGTGAGGTGTTAATCTTCGTTCCCTCCTGCCTCGTAGGATCTTGAGTTCCGATGGCTTTCTGGCCGTCCCCTGTCCCCATGTCAGTTACTCTGAATGGGGATTGTCTGTGTATTTGTTTATCTTCCCTATGAGGCTGTGAAGTCACAGCTCATCGACCTTGGTCCTGGTTATATTCCTACAATTTTTTTTTTTTTTTTTACTTTTTGAGACAGAGTCTCACTCTGTTGCCAGGCTAGAGTGCAGTGGCGTGATCTCGGCTCACTGCAACCTCCGCCTCCCAGGTTCAAGCGATTCCCCTGCCCCGGCGTCCCTAGTAGTTGGAACTACAGGCACATGCCACCAAGCCTGGCTTTCTTATATTTTAGAAGAGACAGGGTTTCACCGTGTTGGCCAGGCTGGTCTCCATCTCCTGACCTCGTGATCCACCCGCCTTGGCTTCCTAAAGTGCTGGGATTACAGGCACAAGCCACCACACCCGGCCTATCCCTACAATCTATAGTCGATAGTCAATATTTACTGAATAACTGGGTGACTGGTGCAAAAGCATCCCGCCTCTAGACAAACCAGGGCTAGCGCTGTCTGTCATTTTCCTCTGCAACTGACTTGAGCTCCAGCCTCACTATCACCTGCCTTCAACAAGTCTTTCTGGAGGCAAGCAGGGCTGGGTTTGAGCAAGTACCATGAGAAGAGAGCACAGGAGATAGGACTCGGCCAGGTCCTTGACCAGATTGTCCCCCTCCTCCCACTGCAGGCCCCCTGTACCCAGGCCATGAACAACCTTGCTAAACTCACCGGCTCCCTTCGTCCTGCCTCCTTTCTTATCCTGGAAAGCCACAAAGGAAACCTAATGCTTGCCTTTACTTTAGAAATATTGGCCTGGTGTGGTGGCTCATGCCTGTAATTCCAGCACTTTGGGAGGTCAAGGCGGGCAGATCACTTGAGGTCAGGAGTTCGAGACCAGCCTGGCCAATGTGGTGAAACCCCATTTCTGCTAAAAATACAAAAATTAGCCAGGCGTGGTGGTGCACACCTGTAATCCCAGCTACTTGGGAGGCTGAGGCTTGAACCTGGGAGGTGGAGGTTGCAGTGAGCCAAGATTGTGCCACTGCACTCCAGCCTGGGCAACAGAGCAAGACTCTGTCTCAAAAAAAAAAAAACTGTATTATTTTGCTGGGTACAGTGGCCCATACCTGTAATCCCAGCACTTTGGGAGGCCAAGGTAGGAGGATGGAGTTTGAAACCAGCCTGGGCACCATAACAAGACCTATCTCTATAAAATAAATAAATAAACAGAAACAGATTAGCCAGGAATGGTGGTGCATACCTAAAGTCCCAGCTACTTGGGAGGCTGAAGCGAGAGGATCACCTGAGCCCATGAGTTCAAGGCTGTAGCGAGCTATGATCTTGCCACTGCACTCAGGCTGGGCAACAGAGTGAGACCATTGTCTCAAGGGAAAAAAAAAAAACGAAGAAAAGACAAAAATATTTTAATGTATTCTTTGGAACAAGTAACCTATGTACGTGGCATGAAATTCAAAAGCTACACAGGGATGAACTTGAAAAGTAACTCCTCTTCCTGACTTGTCTCCCCACAGCTCACCATAGTTATAGTTTCTTTTGTGTATTTATCCTTATTTATATATTTTTAAATGTTTTCACTCTCTCAGCTTGTCAAGAGACACAGTTACCATTTTCTTGTGCAGCTTCTAGAAACAATGTATGAACAACTAAACAAACATGGTTAATCTCTTTCCCTCTCAAACAGCAGTATTCCAAGCACGATTCTCTGTGCACCCACTTACCCACCCCTCCCACCCCAGATGGAGTCTTGCTCTGTTGCCCAGGCTGGAGTGTAGTGGCACAATCTCGGCTCACTGTAACTTCTGCGTCCTGGGTTCAAGCAATTCTCCCGCCTCAGCCTCCTGAGTAGCTGGGATTACAGGTGTGTGCCACCATGCCCAGCTAATTTTTGTAATTTTAGTAGAGACAGGATTTCAGCATGTTGACCAGGCTGGTTTTGAACTCCTGACCTTGTGATCCACCCACCTCAGCCTACCAAAGTGCTGGGATTACAGGCGTGGGCCACCATATCTGGCTTGCACTTTGCTTTTCTAAGTTAAAATGAAACTGTGAAGATGATTCTAGGGCCAGGCATGGTGGCTCACACCAGTAATCCCAGCACTTTGGGAGGACGAGGTGGGAGGATTGCTTCAGTTCAGGAGTTTGAGACCAGCCTGCCTGGGTGGTAATATACACGTGAGACCTCGCATATTGAAAAAAAAAAATAGATGATTCTAAACAAGAGCAAAACAGCCTCCTTTTTTGTGGTTGCATACTATTTCACTGTATGGAATTACATCGTGACTGATTTAATTGGTCCCTGATTCTGCGAATCTTCGTGGTTTTCAATCTTTTGGAACATGCTGCATTTAAGAATCTTGAACTTCTATTATTTGGCTCATGGATCGGCAAATCTTTAAGATAAAATCCTAAAAGTGGAATTTCTGGGTCTAAGGATGTATATATATATTTATTTTTTTGAGACAGGGTCTCACTCTGTTACCCAGGCTGAAGTTCGGTGGAACAATTATATAGCTCACGGCAGCCTTGATCTCCTGGGCCCAAGAGACCCTCCCATCTCAGCTTCCTGAGTAGCTGGGACCACAGGCACACACCACTACGCCTGGCTTTTTTTTTTTTTTTTTTTTTTCGTAGAGACAGGGCCTTGCTATGTTGTCCAGGCTAGTCTTGAACTTCTGAGCTCAAGAAATCAGCCCACCTCTGTCTCTCAAAGAGCTGGGGTTACAGGTGTGAGCCACCACACCCGGCCCAGACACTTTGATTTTGCCCATTTTATGGGTAATAAGTGATATCTCAGTGTTTTTGTTTTGGTTTGGTTTGGTTTTTTTGAGACGGAGTTTTGCTCTTGTTGCCCAGGCTGGAGTGCCGTCGCTCCATCTTGGCTCACTGCAACCTCCCCCTCCTGGATTCAAGCAAATCTCTTGCCTCAGCCTCCTGAAGCATGCGCCACCACACCTGACTAATTTTTTGTATTTTTAGTAGAGACAAGGTTTCGCTATGTTGACCAGGCTGAGCACAAACTCCTGACCTCAAGTGATCCACACGCCTCCGCCTCCCAATGTGCTGGGATTACAGGCATGAGCCACTGCACACGGCCCCTCTCTCTTGACTTCACATTTCTCTTACTTTTTTTTTGTTTTTTTTAAAGAGACTGCTTCTCATTATGTTGCCCAGGCTGGCTTCACTCAAGCAATCCTCTTGCCGCAGCCTCTAGAGTAGCTGGAATTACACGCGCCACGCTCGGTTCCATTTCTCTTATTAAAAAAAAAAAAAATTGCGGCAAAGTACCCATAACGAAATGTACCATCTTGACCATTTTTAAGGGTAAGGCTAGGTGTGTTAGGTATGCTCGCTTTGTTGTGCAACCAGATTTCTGTTTTAAATAACAGCGCTTAGAGATGCCGACTTCGTGCCAGGCCCAGTTTGGGACACTAGGGACTCCCAGATGAATCAGCCACTCCAGTGAAACTCCCAGCTGGTGGGGGAGTCACTGGTGAAACGGTGCGGGCAGAGCGAAGTCCTGACGGCGCTGGAGCTGAGAGGCAGAGCAGGATGCCCCAGGAAGGATCCTAGAAAGAGGGGACCCAGGGTGACTCCCTGAGGAAACACGGCTCCCAGGTAGAGTGCACGTGAGCCAAGATCCTAGGCCTGAGCTGTCTAGCTGTGTCCCAGGAACTGCAGGAAACGGTTGGGTGAGTCAGTGGTGGGCAGTGGGGGTGATGAGCCCTTTCGTGTTTTCGGGATGGTAAGTTTGGGGCACAGGAGAGTGAAGATCGCAGGCCATGGGTGGACTGACAGCCGATGGCAGGCGCAGGGCAGGGCACAGGGTGGGGTCGGCCTGGGGGTGGCAGGGTTTGGGTGAGAAATGGCAGCCCATGGGGAATTGCCACGGCAGGGCTCTAGGGCCTTCAGAGCCAAGCCCCAACACCCCTCCCCATCTGCGGTGCAAAACTGGAGAGGGCAGAGGACAGGGTGAGGGAGGTTGGTTCCCAAAGGAGATGTCATCCCCGTTAAGGGGACACAGGACCCTGGAAGTTGGGTTGGGCCGCAAGGAGAGAGGCCTGAACGGCCAAAGGGAGGGGGCGTGGGGAAGCGGCAGCCTCAGACCTCTGCCTCCTCCCTCAGACCGTGAGGCTCCCCAGCCCGGCTCGGGGACCTCGACCTCCCTGACCTGGATTAGACCTGCTGCCCCTCTCCGCCCCTGGGTCCCTACGGACCTGGAGAGGGGAGGGCGGAGGCCCTAGCTCCCTGCAGGGGAGGGGAGTGAAGACGCGCGGGGGTGGGGGGGGGGAAGATGAGCCGGCGTCGCCATGGCAACAAGGCCGGTGGTCCGGCTCTGGGGACCCGGGAGGGAGGGAGGTAGGGAAGGAGTGAAGGAGGCGCCGTAGCCGCGCGCGCGGGCGGGAGCGGGGGCCCGGGTCTCCCAGGAGGAGTTGGGGAACACCCGGCAATTCTGCCGGCCGCTTCCCGGTGGCGCAGGGATCCCGCGTGTTTGCGAGTGCGTGTGCGTGCGAAGTTCTCCGGGTGAGTGTGCCAGCGCGCGCCTGGAGGGTGTGCAAGCTTGTGAGCGTGCACACGTGGGCACAGGCGTGTGCGCGCGGGGGTGCCCGGCTGGATGTGTACACTTGAGTGTGTGCCGGCCCGCGTGCCCCTGCGTGAGTGTGCGCGCGCGAGCACACGTGTCTGTGTGTGCCCTCGCGTGCGCTACGAGCGGGCCCTGGGTGGGAGCCCGAGATCCCGCCCCCTCCCCAGCCCCGGCGCCCCTCCCTGCCCCCAGCCGGCGGCGCCGGCTGCATCCTCGCCTCCACCTCGCTCACCCCCTCCTCCCCTGACTTTCTCGGCTCTCCTTCCCTGTCGGCTCACACCGCCGGACTCCGCGCTCTCCTCGCCCGCCGCCTTGGGGATCGCCGGCCGCCGCCGCTCCACCTGCGCCCGCCGTTCCCCCAGTGCCTGGGCACCTGTTGGAGGCAGAGACAGGTGCAGGGGGCTGGGCAGGCCGGGGGCGTGAAGGTGCGGGGGAGCGTGCCAGCCTGTGTGCGCTACCGGGGAGCCTGAGGTGGCATCTGAGGCTGGGGTCTCCACCGTGGGCTGCGGTGAGCGCGCAGGGGAACCAGGCAGGCAGACAGGTCCTGAGGCTGAATGAAGGGACAGTGGGGAGTGGGAGCTTAGAAGGGTGGGTGATACCCTGACCAGACCAGCGCCTGCTGCAGAGGACAGAGCCTCCGAGAAACAGAGGCGGGGCCCTGCAGGGCCCCTTGAGGGACCGGCAGGCATAGGAGCAGATGGGAGCCCGGGAGGAGAGGAAGGAGCTGGCAAGATGGTACAGGGACAACCTAGAGGTGGCTGGGTGAGGACGGGGTGGTGCAGCCTCAATCTCTGAGGGGAGTGGGTAGGCATCCCAGCCCCCGTGGAGCCGGCCTGGGGTCTGCAGGGCCCAGGCCTCCCGCCTGCCACCAGCTGGCACAGGCCACCCTCTCCCTCGACCTAGGAAGGGAGGCCAGTGAGGGCCCTGCAGACCCAGGAGGCTGTTGCCTGGCTCTCAGCCAGGACCGTTAGGTATGAGGAGTTGGCCCTGGGCTCACTGGCTCACACGGCCTCCCCCAGCCAGGGGTGCTGCATGAGGGGCCGCAGGGGCGACCGCATGACCATCAACATCCAGGAGCACATGGCCATCAACGTGTGCCCCGGGCCCATCCGGCCCATCCGCCAGATCTCTGACTACTTCCCCCGCCGGGGACCAGGACCTGAAGGGGGCGGCGGGGGCGGTGGGGAGGCCCCCGCCCATCTGGCCCCCCTGGCTCTGGCCCCCCCTGCAGCCCTCCTTGGGGCCACCACGCCTGAGGATGGTGCAGAGGTGGACAGCTATGACTCGGATGATGGCAGTGAGTCTGGGGGCTTGGAGGCCCCACATGCCGGTGGGCGTCTCCAGGCTTGCTATGGGGGGTGGGGGGATGAGCCATGCTGAGTGTGCATGTAGGGGAGGAGGGCACTGGGGGGGGGGTGGCAGGGATGGCCAACACAGCTGCAGTCGGCGTGGAGATTACAGCTTCAGCAAGGCTCAATATTCAATATTTCTGCTGAGACACTCCACCACCCACACAGCCCCAGTTGCGGCTGAGCCAGGGACCCAGACACACACACGCACGGGCCCACTCAGCCTCTTGCACACACACTCACAGGTGGGCAGAGAGGGAGACACACGCAGCCAGTGCCCGCCTGCCGGCCTCTCGCACACACCTGTCTCCAAACAGACCCATGCTGCCTTTCCTCTCTCTCCAGCCGCCCTGGGCACGCTGGAGTTTGACCTTCTCTATGACCAGGCCTCTTGCACTCTGCACTGTAGCATCCTCAGGGCCAAGGTGGGCACTCCCTGCCTCCCCAGCCCACGCGCGGTCCCCAGAGGGGTGGGTTTCCATCCCTCCCTTCCCAGGCCTGCTCCTTCCTCTCACCCCTGAACCCTCCTTCTGGGCCCCTCCAGGGTCCAGCTCTACAAGAGGGAGGGAGAGAGGTGCCGGGAGCCTCCAGCCCTCTCTCCCCTCCCCTCCGCTCCAGGGCCTCAAGCCCATGGATTTCAATGGCCTTGCAGACCCCTATGTCAAGCTGCACCTGCTGCCTGGAGCCTGTAAGGTAATAGCTTCTTCTCCCTCCCAGCCCGCTGCCCATGCCTTCAGCTGCCCTGTGGCTGGAGGACAGGTATTTAGAACGTTTTATCCCCACACCCCAGGCCAATAAGCTAAAAACAAAGACTCAGAGGAACACGCTGAATCCTGTGTGGAATGAGGACCTGACATACAGTGGGATCACGGATGACGACATCACACACAAGGTTCTCAGGTGAGGGCCCCCTTCCCTGCCACCCAGGATCCAGGTCCAGCAGCAGCTCGGGGACAGCTGTCATTGTAACCACTGGTTGATCTATATCCCATTAAGCCCCTATCTCTCTGATGCTCAAGAACCATCAGTGGCTCCCTATCCCCTTTGGCAGCAGGCCAAAATATTTCCCTGCCATTCCTGCCCCCCAAATATCTCCTGCAGGCAGGGCATAGTGGCCCACACCTGTAATCCCAGCACTTTGGGAGGCCGAGGTGGGCCGATCACTTGAGGTCAGGAGTTGAGACTACCCTGGCCAACATGGTGAAACCCCGCCTCTACTAAAAACACAAAAGTTAGCTGGGCATGGTGGCATGTATCTGTAATCCCAGCTACTCGGGAGGCTGAGGCAGGAGGACTGCTTGAACCCAGGAAGTGGAGGTTGCAGTAACCAGAGATCATACCACTGCACTTCAGCCTGGGTGACAGAGCGAGACTCTCAAAAACAAAACAAAACAAAAACAAGTATTTCCTACCTCTCAAACAGAGGACTCCCTTCCAACTGACCAGTTTCACAACTCCTGCTTTTCCTGTTCTGTTTATTTGGAAAGCTCCTCCTGGCTAGCCTAAATTCCACTCATCTGGGGCTCAGTCCAAGCTCTGCCCACTCCTGAAAGTGTACCTGGGTCGCTGAGACCCCTTCTCAGAACCCTGCAGCTTTGGTCTGCCCCTTCTGTGCCCTGAGTTCCCTTAAAATCTCTAAGGAGTGAAGTCTTCAGGGACAGGGAAGTTACTCCATCACCCCAGGAGATGGAGATGTGGGGAGAGTATTCCCTCAAGTCAGGCAGTGGGCAGCAAAACCCAGGCTCCAGAGAGACCTCTGCCTTTGTGCTTAGATCTGCAGCCGGGACCCTTCCCTGATGGTCAGGGCTGTGTGGCGGAGAGGCCACCTTGGTGTCGGGTATGTGGGTGGAATGGAAGGGAGGCCAGAGGCCGGAACCAGAATGAACCTCAAAATGACTGAGCACTCCCCAGTGCCCAGCCTGGACTAAACATTTTCACCTTTCTTTCCCTTGATTTTCTCCATTTTACAGATGGGAATTGAGGCATAGGGAGATTAAGTGACTTGCCCCAGGTCACACAGGTGGCTCAGAAGTGGCAGGGCTGGGATGTGCCAGCCCTCCATGCCACAGATGGCCAATGTGGCAGTGGGTCACAGCAGAGGCAGAGCAAGCGCTGTGGGAGGATGGGTGGCCGGAGAACAGTCATTTCTTAGTCGCTGGGCTCATGAATCCCTGCGGGGCTGGCTCTGTGCTGTATGCAGGGAAAGGACGGGCGTCCTGAGGAGGCATGGGATCCTTGTCTGGCTGCCCAAGGCTCCAAGGTCCTTCTAGCTCTCATGGCCTGTGTCTGTGGCCACATCTACCTTGGTGTTTGGCTTCTGCCCCCAGGCCCTGAATGGAGGCAGTGAGCGGTGCTCCAAGATTTCTGAGGGCTTCCCGAAGAGGCTGAGCAGCTCCTGAGGGACCAGGGACAGCTGGATGGCTGCTGAGGGAGGGACAGAGGACCGGGCAAATCTGCTTGTCCTTCTCAAGTGCCAGCCTGTCTTCCAGATGAGACGGAGTGTTTAGGGCAGAGCTGTGCTGGTCGGAGGCCCTTCCTCCAGGCTGGAACGGGGCTCAGGTACCCCTGGGGTACTGACACTGCCGTTCCCCCCCAGGATTGCCGTGTGTGATGAGGACAAGCTGAGCCACAATGAATTTATTGGGGAGATCCGAGTGCCACTCCGCCGCCTCAAGCCTTCGCAGAAGAAGCATTTTAACATCTGCCTCGAGCGCCAGGTCCCGGTCTGTGTGGGGGGTGGGCTGCAGGGGTGCCAGAGGAGGGGGCCCTGCAGGGGTGCCAGAGGAGGGGGCCCTGCAGGAGTGCCGGAGGGGAGGCCAGGGTTCCAGAACCTTCTCTTTGCCTCCTCAGCTGGCGTCCCCCTCTTCCATGTCGGCAGCGCTGAGGGGCATCTCCTGTTACCTGAAGGAGGTGAGGCACCTCACAGGGACAGGGATGCATGTGGGTGGGAGGCGGTGCGGGCCCAGGCTGACCCTGCGCCTGTGCCCTGCAGCTGGAGCAGGCAGAGCAGGGGCCAGGGCTGCTGGAGGAGCGTGGCCGCATCCTGCTGAGTCTCAGCTATAGCTCGCAGCGCCAGGGACTGCTGGTAGGCATCTTGCGCTGTGCCCACCTGGCTGCCATGGACGTCAACGGTTACTCGGATCCCTACGTCAAGACGTGAGCCCTTGCGCTGAGCCTCTCCTCCCCTGGGAGCCTGCCCCTGCCCAAATTGGGCATGGCCTGTCCCTGACCCCTTGGTTCCTCTCCCTCCAACACACTCCCAGGTACCTGAGGCCTGACGTGGACAAGAAATCCAAGCATAAGACGTGTGTGAAGAAGAAGACTCTCAACCCAGAATTTAACGAGGTACCCGGGTGGGACTGGACGCAGAGGCAGGCCAGGGAGGAGCTGGGGGGCTGAGGAGTCAGCTCACGAATGGGCGGCCGGCCTTGTCCCCAGGAGTTTTTCTACGAGATAGAGCTCTCCACTCTGGCCACCAAGACCCTGGAAGTCACAGTCTGGGACTATGACATTGGCAAATCCAATGACTTCATCGGTGAGGGATGAGCTCGCTGTGGGTGCCGGGAGAGGGTGAGTGCCAGGGAGGTGGCCCTGACTCCACCATTTGCTCTCCCAGGTGGCGTGTCCCTCGGGCCAGGTGCCCGAGGCGAGGCCCGTAAGCACTGGAGCGACTGCCTGCAGCAGCCGGATGCAGCCCTGGAGCGCTGGCACACCCTGACCAGCGAGCTGCCCCCTGCGGCCGGTGCTCTGTCCTTAGCCTGAGTGGACAGCAGTGCCCTGCACAGGCCCATCGGGCCGGGCCCAGTACCCAACCTTCGCACGAGTGTGTTGCACGTTTACACGGGGTGGGCAGCCCCCACTCTGCACTACCTGTCTTATTTTTGTGAGTCTCAGTGACCCAGGTCTGTCTGCTCGTGAGGGGCTGTGGAGTTCTATATTCACATATGCAAACCTCCTGCCTGACTCGCTAGTCCCTGCAAATATGCAAACACCCCATCCTCTGCATACCTGGGCAGTGCTCAGAGCCCGGCCCCAGGCCCTTGAGCTCCTCACTCCGGCCTCTCCACGCTGCCCCGTCCCTCTCCCCCGACAGGGAGGAGGTCGGATTAGGGGAGGTTCAGAGGAGGAGAATGTCTCAAAAAAGAAAGAAGACAAAAAAAAACCAACCCAGAGCCACTCCTTTAATACAGAAACTTCATTAAAAAACCTAGCCCCGTACAGCTGCCCTTTTAAAGGGGTGGCGATCGCAGGGTCTCTGCCTCTCCAGCAGGTGGCAGATGCTCCCAGCCACTCGTTTAACTGTCCCCTGGATGGGGCCAGGGTTTGAAGGCAGGGCCCCTGCCACCCTCCTGGGGGACACCCGTGCATGTTTACGCCTTTTCTGGTTGTGTCAGTAGCCGGAGCATGGCAGCTGGGTATCAATAAACACCTCCGGGAAACTGGGCTCGTGTGTGCTGCACTGGGAGGCGCCGGGTGGGGCTGCGGTGGGCGTGGTGCAAGGTTGTAGTCACTCCGGGATGTCGATCACCAGGTCATCATCCCCATCTAGGGCATCGTCCCCGCTACCTGCGTCGCTGAACATCTGCCGAGGGACTGTGCTCAGGATCGTGGGGGGGGGCATCTTGGGGGGCGGGAGGGGGGTCAGGGCTGTCCCGACCCCGGCCCCAGAACCCCGGCCAGGGAAGGTCAGCGGCCCTCCCACAGGGCAGTCAGGGGGTCCCACCGCCATCTGCAGCAGGGGGAAGAAACACAGGGGGGCTAGTCAGGGAGGCACTGGGGCCTCAGGGGACCAGGCCCTGCCCCCCAGGGCAGCTCTGGGGAGAGGGAAGGGGCCCTGGGCACAGCCGGGCCAGCCAATGTTGCACTCAGGGTCTGCCCACCCTCAGCCCCTCATGAGATTCAAAGCAGCAAGTGCCTGGGGGTGGTGATGGACGTGAGATGAGGGGATGGGGGTGTCTCACAGGAAACCGGGAGGGAAAGGCCCGGCCCTGCCCTCTCTAGGGAGGCGCCTGGGCTGCCCTGAGGCGGGTTAAGCCAGAGGCGGAGTTGGCCTGGAGTGCCTGCCTGCCTGCTGCTGGGTCCCAAAGGTGCCACCTGGTGCCACCTGCCGTCACCGGCTTCCTCTCCCTCCTCCTCCTCTTCTGCGGGACTCACTGGTTCAGTGGAGGGTATCACAGGCTGCCTGAGCCTGGAGCCCTGGCAGCTTCTCTGCCCGTCATGTCTTGGATGGGCCCCTCCTCGGGATCCCCGCAGCCATGGCCTAGGCCCAGCCCTCCTCTCGGCTCACCTGGGCTGCGGTCCCAGCCTCCTAACTGGACTCCCTGCCTGCAGCCTCTCCCAGATCCAGCTCCTCCGCACTGCAGCCAGAGCACGAGCTCTAAAACACAGACCTGAGCGCGTCACCGCGCCACTCGGGGCATCGGGACAGAGTGCCGCCTGCCAGATGACAGGTGGCCCCTCCACCTGGGCATCCTGCTCTATTTGTCAGAAGTCCTTTGTCCTCTGAGGCTGGGATGTGACCTGCCCAACTCTCCATCCCCCCACTGCCAGGTCCTCACAGACCCTCCCCAGAGAGCTCTATGGGTCTCCTCTGCAGTCCCCATGCTTTGTCTGTGGGCACAAACTGGGCACCTGCTGTGTGCCAGGTGGTTTCTGTTAATGCCTTCCTAGCTTCAGGATGCTGGGGAGCGGGAAGAGGTCAGCTGCCAGCAGAGGAGGCTGAGCCTGGCATGGTCACGGAGGTGCTGAAGCACAGTCCTGCTGAGTCCTGAGGGGCAATGTCCAGTCTGGCCCTGGGCTAGGTGCTGGGTGAGCTGGCAGGAAATGCCATGCGTGGTCTCCAGTGGCCCTTCTGAGTGTCACATTTGGCCCTGTGGCCTCTTCTTTGCTTCCTAAGGAGTCCCCACCCTCACCTCTGCTCCTGGGGTGGCATGAGAGCCAGGGTGGGTTAGGCCTCAGGATACAGGAGGCTGGCAGGATGGACAACAGATGGGGGCCCAGCTCTGAACAGCACCCCCTTGCCCTGTCCCAGGCCGCCTGTGTGTACATAAGTACACACAGGAGCAGGCGTGCGTGCTCGACTGGAAAGCCTGCTGCACGAGGACCGTCCCCTCCTCTGCCTACCACCTCTCCTTCCCCGCTGTGCGCAGCACATCCCACCCTGGCCTGGACTTCCTCAGTGGCGTCCTCAGCCTGACTGGCAGCAGCTCACAATTCTCTGTGGCTTACTAAGGGCCAGGCATGGGGCCAGCGCTTTTCATCCCTTCACTCACTTTCTCTGCACAACACTAGTGAATGGAGAAGAAAACTATGGCTCCAGGCATGAAATGACACGCCGAGGTCCCACGGTGAGTACTGGAAGAGCTGGGACTCAAACCCGGCCAAGTCCGACTTAAGCCTGACAGAACCAACCTGCTTCTGTCTTCACAGCTGTCCTTCCTCTGCTTTAACTCCCTTCCTTCTATCTCCTCACACCAAGTCCCCCAGATCCTTCAGGGACCCCCACTCCCCGGAGAGTCACAGGCAAACTCCCATTTCAGATGGGCGTCTAGGCCTTCCATGACCCCGCCCCACCCGGTTCATCTTGCTAAGGTCGTGTCTCTTACCACTCCTGCTCTGGCCCAGGCTGCACTGTTACTGTGCCCGTCTCCCTTCCCACCATGGCCTCAGCCGGGAATATCCAAATCCACTCACCCGGGGCTCACACTTTCTCCTCGATGAGGCCTTTCCTGGCTTCTCCCTGCCTCCCTGCACAGCCATGGACCTGAGCTGCCCTCCCAAACCTTCTCTCCAGAACATCCAGAACTTTGCTCTAGGAAGAGACTCCACTTTAGGACTCAACGCCCAGCCAGAAAGCCTCAAAGTGCCCCCCTATGCCATGCCAACCCCACCCTGCCTGCCACCCCCCTGCTAAGAACCAGGGCCAGTACTGTCACCTCTGCTTCTCAGGCTCAAGAGGTAAAGTCTCACAGGGCCAAGGTCACACAGAGAAAAGGGTAGAGTTGGGATCGAGCTCCAGATCCCGCACTCCAGACCACCGCAAATGCGGCCTCATTCTGCTTCTGGCTCCAGAACCTGAGAGCTGCCCAGCTGGTCCCCACTCAGCTCGGCCCCTCAGCCCATCCTCATCTCTCCTAAGGCTTGCATCTACTGCCAGCCTGGCGGCTTCCAAATGCGCAGCCCCTCACGGGCCACTGTCTAGCTGCTTTCCAGATGGTAACTGATGCGTCTTCGGCCAGACTCAGCTTCCCTCCAAGCCTGTGCTCCCACAGCACTCCCATCTTGAGGGAGGGCGACTCCACTCATACTCAGGCTACAGCCCTGCAGGCATCCTGGCCTCTCCCCCGCACAGCCCACACCAAGTCCTCCAGGAACTCCCGAGGCTCATTCTCTGAAATGGGTCTGCAGTCCCCTCTGGACCTTCTGCCTGGTTTACCGAGGGGGCCTCCTCACTCCCATCCCGACTCACCCCACCGCTCACCCAGTCTGTTCTATGACCACTGGTATCCGAAATTTAATTAAGATGCAATGAGATCAGACTCCCCTCCATGCCTGCAACCTGTGCCCTGCCGGGGAACTGCCCTCTCCAAGGCTTCATTCACAGTGAAGCCTGCTCAGTGGCACCTCAGGAGCTCCCGCCTCTGACCTGCTCCAGGGCCCATGTCCCTGCTGACTTTCCTCCCTGACACAGACTCCTTCCAGATCCTGCAACAAGCCCAGCTCGCACCCTCCCAGGGTCTCTGCCCGACAGAAACATGGCCCAGGAGCGACACAGCGTGGTCATTTCCTGTGTCTCTGATCAAAGAACATCCCAGACTGCTGGGCCCAAAGTGTCAGCTTTGTCCCCGGGGGTCCCCACGCTTTGTACTTCACTCCGTTCTTCTCCACACGTACCTATTTTTCTAGTATGTTTTCTGCCTATCTTGCTAGAATGTGAGCTCCATTAGGGCAGGGACTGGTCGGCTTTGTTCACTGCCACTATCTGCCACAGCCGGGACAGTGTGTGGCCCATGGGAGGCACTCCAGGGGCGCTTGTTGGTCACATCAAGTGGGACCACTCACCCTACAGGTGCCAAGTCTAGGAGGCGTAGAGGGTAGCAGAGACCTGCTCAAAGCCACGTGGTTTCTAACGGGCAGTCTTGACTTGACTCTAGAGCCCATAATCCTGCCCCCTGGGGCTGCCGGGCATCACAGAACATGCCCACCTGGGGAAACGAGCCTGGCCCCGCTACGCTGCAGCCGTGAAAGGGCAGATCCCTGGCACTGACACGCGGGGTCCCCCAAGGCTGGTTCTGCCCTGATCTGTCTCCACACGGGCCTGTGAGCCGGGACTCCTCTGGTCCACCTCTCAGTGCAGAGCGATGGCTGGATCCCCTGCAGCCCCAAATCAACCGTTCAGGGTTCTCTGACAGGCCCCCGCCTTGAGCCTCCCTCAGGTGGCTGTCCTCCTGCCGTCCTGCCCCTCCCTAGCGCCCCCACGTCAGGGTACCTTGAGTTTCCGGGGAAGGCGGGGCCGTTTCTCCCGCTTGGGCCTCAGGGGGCTGGGCTCAGGCAGCTGCAGGGCCAGGTAGTCAGAAGGGAATGAGGGGTAGCGGGGGGAGGCCAGCTGTGGGCAGGAGTAGGGATGGAGATGGGAGGCGGAGTGGACAGGGTGAGGGTTGGGGGAAGAAATGCAAACAAAAGGAGGATGGAAAAACAAAAGAGATGGTGATGAGTGCGGCTCCCGGGGCTCCCGAGCACAGAAGTGGGGGCAGCAGCAGGACGCTGTCCTGGACTCTGCTCTCCTCAGTCACGCCTGGCCCCGTTCCTACACCAGAGAGAAGGGGGCAGCCCCCACTCACACCCTCCATGGGACACTTGCTGGCCACACCCAGACAGATGTCCCCAGAGTTGGGCTGGCCTTGCCCCGAGGCCCAGCCCTTCTGCCCAAATGACGCCACCTTACTCCCAGGCATTTTGGTTCGACACTTCCCACCCCTGACCCCAACTCACCGAGCTCAGGTATGGGGAGGGGACCCCGGAGGCCTGAAGGGGAAACCCTGTTGAAGGAGGCAGGGAGAGGCTGGAGGGAGAGGGGGCCCCCCCCAGCGGAGGGCTTCTCTTCCTGGAGAAAGGACAGGAGGGGTCAGAGGTGGCTAGGAGCCCAGGCAGTCCACCTGACCCTCCCCAGCGAGAGGAATGCATCTTTTTCTCACCTCTTAGGGGCTGGAGTGTCAGATAACTTGGGTGTCCCCTCTGTCTCGCTGTTATCTGATGATGCAGTGGCATCTGAGTCTGTTACAGGAACAGCTAGTCAGTAAGGGTGGGGGAATCCCAGTCCATCCCAGAAGGGTATAACCTCTTCTACACTACAGGAGGACACCAGAGGACCAAGCATGGAGATCACGCCTGGAATCCCAGCACTGTGAGAGGCCAAGGTGGGCAGACTGCTTGAGGCCAGGAGTTCAAGAGGAACCTGGACAACCTAGCGAGACCTCATCTCTACTAAAAACAAAAACAATTATACAAGCATGGTGGTGTGTGCCTCTAGTCCCAGCTACTCAGTAGGCTGAGGCAGGAGAATTGCTTGGAGATCGAGGCTGCAGTGAGCCATGACCATAACACTGTATACCGGCTTGGGAGACAGAGCAAGACCCTGTCTCAAAAAAACCAAACAAACCAAAAACCCAACAGAAGGGCCCCTGGGGGAATCTGACTCACCAGCTGATGGGCACGTCCACGCACACACACACCCATGCCGTCCCAGGGAGGTCCACAGCCTCTCCAGCCTCCCCAGCCTCCCTCCTGCTCTCATTCCTCCACGACACACCTGCCATGCATGGCCAGGGTGCCAGCCTCCTTCCCACTTACCACCTCTCCTTGTCATCAGACCATCCAAGGAGGATGGAAAGGGCAGTACCTTCACTTGTCACATGAGGTCACCAAGGCTCAGAAGGTAAGGCATGACACTGCAACTCCAACCCAGGTCTGTGACTCCCTGGCTATTTGATGCCACTCATTCCTTGCCTCTGAGCAGAGCCGTCTTCAGCTCCTGCCTCAGCTCCACTCTCCATAACCAAGGCCTGTTCACCCACCCCTCATCCTCTCCTTCATCTACTACTCCTCAGGCTAGCTGCCACAGGTCAGGCCACCAGCATGTCAAAAATCACCTGCTGAGTAGTCTCACCTCACTCTGCCACCCACGGTCCAACTCCAACTCCAGAGTAACCAAAAACCGACCTGGTCCACATCCTTCTTGATGATATGCCCCACTAACTGGATGAATTCTTAGTGCTTCTTAATCTGGCTTCAACATATCTTTCTGGTCAACTAACATAACTGTACTGTCGTCACCACAACCTCCACCTCCCGGGTTCAGGTGATTCTCCTGCCTCAGCCTCCCAAGTAGCCGGGTCTACAGGCACTCGCCACCATGCCCAGCTAGTTTTTCTATTTTTAGTAGAGACGGGGTTTCATCATATTGGCCAGGCTGGTCTTGAACTCCTGACCTCATGATCCACCTGCCTCCGCCTCCCAAAGTGCTGGGATTACAGGCGTGAGCCACCGCGCCTGGCCCATAACTGTATTCTTTACAGCACACTGACCTATTTCCTTAAAAAAGAAATGTATTTCCCTAGTTCAGTGCTTCTGCCTAGAGGGGCCATCTTTCATTGAACAAACGACTGCTACGCATAGAAGCTGTTGCCAATGCCTCTGCTCAGATAGACCCTTTAAGGAGCAGATTAAATGCCACCTCCTCTTAGGAGTCTTCTAGAATCCTTCAAGCCCAATTAACTGCAGGCTCTCCCAGAACCCTCTGCTCTCATTTGTCATGGCTACCCCCACACTGTGCTGAAGAGCATCGTTTGTGTCTTCCTGACCAAGCTGTAAACCTCCATGACAGGAGTGGGGCCCACATCGCTGGCTCTTCCTTCTCAGATGCAACCCACTCTGGCCATGAACATGCTGGATTCTCTCCTACAAGGCAGGAGCCCTGAAATCCCCTCAAATAGGACGTTAACTGGAAGCCCTTAGGGAAGGGAGAGGCAGGGGATGAGAGGCTACAGTAAGAGCCAAACCTCCTACTATGATCTACCTGAGTGGGCCCCTGCCTATTTCCCTAACCTCATCTTCAAGTACTCCCAGAGCAAGCAAATGTGTATCATGTGTTCCAACAAAGCACTATGTCCCAAAACTTGGCCGGCTGCTACATGCCGGTCCCTGCCTCAGACCAATGTTCAAAGGCACTGTGGAGAGGTGATTCTACGTGACGTGGCCTATGAGGGTCCCACCCAGGAATAGGCCCACAAAGGCCCAGCTCAGGGATTTTTCAAACTGTGGGTCTCAATCCATTAGTGGAAGTCATGAAATCAATGTATTGGTTTGCAACCACACTAAAAGAAGGGAAAAAAAAGCAGTCTAAAAAGTATCAGGTTTAGGTGAAGTCTTCCTAAGGCAAAAAAAAAAAAGGTATCCAGATGAACTGGTACAGTGATCTTAAAAATGTTTTGGCTGGGTGTGGTGGCTCATACCTGTAATCATTAGCACTGTGGGAGGCTGCGGCAGGTGGATCACAAGGTCAGGAGTTTGAAACCAGCCTGGCCAACATGGTGAAACCCCATCTCTACTGAAAATACAAAAATTAGCTAGGCATGCTGGCAGGCACCTATAATCCCAGCTACTTGGGAGGCTGAGGCAGGAGAATTGTTTGAACCCAGTAGGAAGAGGTTGCAGTGAACCATGATCATGCCACTGCACTCCGGCCTGGGCGACAAGAGCGAGGACTGCATCTCAAAAAAAAAAAAAAAAAAAAAGTTCTGTTAAACTTTGTTTTGTAGCTATGTATATTGATTGACCCCTGGTCATGATGTAAAATATAGTCATATGCAGACAATACTCAAATAAAGGGAGGAAAACAGTGCTGTTTTTCATCCCTCTGCTCTTCAACAAAGCCCAGCTCAGGGTACCTGAATGTGTTATTCCTCCAGGACAGCTCTAGCTTACTTCTTCACAAGGTTGGTTTATTTTTTTTTTGAAACAGTCTTGCCCTGTCTCCCAGGCTGGAGCACAATGGCACAATCAAGACTCACTGCAGCCTCAACCTTTCAGGCAAGGGATCCTCCTGGTTCTGCCTCCCAAGTAGCTGAGACCACATGTGTACACCACTATGTATGGCTATTTTTTTTTTTTTTAATTGACACGGGGGTCTCACTAGGTTACCCAGGCTGGAAGGCTGGTTTCTTAATCTGGTCCCAACTCAAGAAAGGCCTTTCTTGAGTCCTCTATTCAGACAGTGCCTGCTGTCTGCTTGTGTAGTCTGCAAGCTAAGAATGGCTGTTTAACTTTTAAATGGTTGAAAAAAAATTTTTTTTCATGTGAAAATAATAGGAAATTCAAATTTCCGTGGCTATAAAGTTGTATAGAAACACAGCCATACTCATTATTTGAATCTGGGCTATGGCTGCTTTATACTATAACAGCAGAATTCAGTAGGTGCTTCAAAAATTGTATGTTGCAGAAAGCTTATTTACCATCTGGCCCTTTGCAGAAACAGTTCGTTAACCCTTGTTCTGCTATAATCATTACCACACAATTCTGTTATCATTATCTTCTAGTTCTTACCATGACCTAAAATTCTAGTCTATTTCTTCATTTACTTACAACTAGAATATAAATTACAAGAGACCAAGGGCTTTGTCTATTTTTTCCCCCGCCGGTATCCCCTGTGCCAAGCACAGTGCCTGAAACACAATAGGTGCTCAGGAGGTGGAAGGCAGGCAACTAGGCTTCAGATCCACTGGAGGCTCCATCAGCCGCCACTGCCTAAAAGGTGGGGGCCCAGGAAGCTTGCTAAGTGCCAGGAACCATGCCCTCCACCAAATTTTCAAGAACTCGCTCACCTGAAGAGTCTTCGTCCACGTTCTCATACTGCAGAAGTCGGTCTAGGAGGAAACTGAGGGGAAGGCAGAAGAGGGGAGATGGGCAGTGATTTCCCAGCGAAGCAATGTTCTCCTGGGCCCCTGTCCCTCCTAGCTGCCCCAAGGGATCCCTGAAAGAGTCCATGCACTTGTGGCCCTACTCGGGGTTGGGGTCCGAATGTAGATCGCTAGGAACCACATCGCCCCCCGCCCCTGCAACGTGCCTTACCTCTTGTCCCGGGACACCTTGAGTAATTTCCTCTGCGCTTTCCTCAGCTCCTCCTGGAAGCACTCGTGCTCCTGCATCAAGGGCAAGGGGGGCGCTGGGCCAACGGTCATCCGCGAAGGGCCCCGGAACCCCGCGGCCGCTCGCCCCACCCGCTTTACACCTGAGATCTTGTCCACGCCAGGCCTCACCCCCCACAACCTTCCCGTGGCAGCACTCACGTAGATGAGGAACTTGAGCTTCCGCTTCAGATTCCTGTATTTCTTTTTGTAGTCCACTTCGCCGTCCGCCGGCCCGTTCATGACCGGCCCGGGAGCGGCAGCCAGCTTCTGCAGTTCCGCTACCCAAAGCCTGGGCTGCCCCGCCGCTCACGCCTACACTTCCGGAGACTCTGTAAGGCTGTGCGGCCGGAACTACAACTCCCAGCGTACCCCGCGCCCAGGCGGAGTTACGGCAGGAGCGGCCCTCCCGGGGTGGGGGGGAGGGCGTATACTGGGAAAGGAATGCGGAGGCCAGTGGCTGCGCTGGGGATGGCGTAGCAGCGACGCGGTGACGCCACAAAGATGGCGGACGCTGGAAGGCTGTTCCTCACTCTAATGTGCTTAGATACTTGAAGCCACAAAAAGATTTTCCCCCGAGGTTCCTCGTCTCCTGGCGAGAAGGCCTTTTCTTCTGCCTTGTGAAATAACAGCGGCCTAGCTGGTGCCCATGACCGGAAAGAAAGGTAGTGTCGCGGGCTGAATACACCCAAAGGGTGCCGGCGCCGAATCAGTTTCTAACGAGAACTTTTAAAACGATTCGTTATAGGAAAGGGTAGGAGCCGCGAGACCCTCTAACTGCCCAGGGAAAACAAGTCTTGTCCAGCAAAGTTCTTTGCTCAAGCGGTCCCCGGCCCAACGGTCCCTCGCCCCACGGTGCCGCAGCACAGCGCGTGCGCGAGCCGCTGTCAAACGCGCTGACGGAGGCCGAGAAGAAAAAAGCGGGAGCCGCCAATCCCGGATGGAGCAAAATGGCGCGGGAGAAGGAGATGCAGGAGTTCACCCGTAGCTTCTTCCGAGGCCGCCCGGACCTCAGGTGCTCAGGGGGTTGGAGGTGGGGTTGGAAAGGGCACGCGTGGGATGGGGACTCCGTCCTGACATCCTGTCCCCGCAGCACGCTCACGCACTCCATTGTGCGGCGGAGGTACTTGGCTCACTCGGGTCGCGACCACTTGGAGCCCGAGGAGAAGCAAGCGCTGAAGCAGCTGGTGGAGGAGGAGCTGCTGAAGATGCAGGTGTGGGCCGGAGCCTGGGCCGCGGGAGGTGGAGGCGGAGGCGGAGGCGGAGGCGGAGGCGGAGGCGGGGCTTGCCGCCGAGGAGGAGGGGCCTGACGGGGCGCGGTGAGCGCAGCCTTGGTGCATAGTTCGCCCTCTTGGCGCACACACAGGTGGATGAAGCTTCTTCCAGGGAAGTCAAACTGGACTTTACCAAGAAGGGCAAGAGGCCTCCCACCCCTTGTTGCGACCCGGAGAGGAAAAGGTTCCGCTTCAATTCAGAGTCGGGTTAGTGCTTCCTCCCTGCTATGGGGGCCTTCTACATCGTTAGTGTTTCACTCAAGAAGCATTCACCTCGCATCTGTTATGTCCCCAGGTGTTAAATGAATGAGCGAGGCCAATGAGTCAGGAACCGGGACAGCGAGGACAGATAGCTGTTTCCTGCTGCCCCTCCCTCTGTCAGGGCAGCCCTCGAGACAACCTATCCGATGTGAAGGGAGAAGGGACAGGAGGAGCCTGTCTCAACTTTCTCTCCTTTCCATATTCCAGAGTCCGGCTCTGAAGCTTCCAGCCCAGACTACTTTGGACCCCCAGAAAAGAATGGGGTGGCAACAGAAGTCAGCCCAGCCAAGGAAGAGAATCCAAGGCGAGCCTCAAAGGAGGCAGTTGAGGAGAGCAGTGATGAGGAACTGTGGAGAGACCTGCCCGCACAGAGGGGAGGAGAGGAAAGCAGTGAGGAGGAGGAAAAGGGAGAGAAGGGGAAGACTAGGAAGAAACTTGTGGCAAAGAAGCAGGCATCAGGCAAGGTCTCAGTCAGTAGAAAGCAGGCCAGGGAAGAAAGTGAGATCGACGAAGAACCCGTTCAGAGGACAGCAAAGAAGGTGGAGAGAAGCAAAGGAGCTAAAAGCCTGAAGGAAAAGGAACAGAAGAGTGAAGAGGAGGGGGAGATCCTAGCCAAGAAGAAAGAGCATAGAGAGGAGGAATCGGGGGAGAAAGAGAAAGAAGGGGAGGAGGAAAAGGAGAAAGATTGGAAACCCAGAGCCAGGAGCAATGGCAGGAGGTCAGGCAGGGAAGAGGGGAGCTGTAAGCAGAAAAGTCAGGCAAGGATGCTCATGGGAGACCCGGACAGCGAGGAAGAGGAGAAAGAGGCAGCAGGCAGTAGGGATGACAGTGGGAAAGAAGAAGAACCCCTAGTGCAGAGAAAGATCGAGGACAGGACCCAGCTTAAGGGTGGGAAGGGGTTGAATGGAAGCAGCGAGGACGAGGAAGACAGTGGGAAGGGGGAACCCACAGCTAAAGGCACTAGAAAGATGGCCAGACTGGGCAGCACCAGTGGTGAGGAGAGTGACTTGGAGAGGGAGGTGAGTGACAGCGAGGCAGGGGGAGGCCGCCAGGGGGAGAGGAAGAACCACTCTTCCAAGAAGAGCACCAGGAAAGGCAGGACAAGAAGCTCATCTTCCTCCTCAGATGGAAGTCCAGAGGCCAAAGGAGGGAAGGTGAGGTTGTAGAGGGCTGGGAAGCCACCATTGGGGAAGAGGGAGACCCTGTGTCAGACCCAGCAGGCTTGGCCTTCAGCTGCTGCTCTTTCCTTGCCAGGCTGGCTTAGGTCGCCGTGGAGAGGACCACCCGGCTGTGATGAGGCTGAAGCGCTACATTCGGGCCTGTGGTGCTCATCGCAACTACAAGAAGCTGCTGGGCTCCTGTCGCTCACACAAGGAGCGCCTGAGTGTCCTCCGGGCAGAACTGGAAGCCCTAGGCATGAAGGGTGAGGCCAGGCATGCCTTGGGGGCTGCAAGAGAGGGCCTTCCTGCTGGGGAGGAGAGGATCACCAGCTTCTTCTGCTCCAGGTAAGCCTTCCCTAGAGAAGTGTCGAGCCCTGAAGGAACAGCGGGAAGAGGCCGCTGAGGTGGCTGCCTTGGATGTTGCCAACATCATCAGTGGCTCAGGTAAGGGGTTTCCTCTCACTGCCAGGAGCAGATGGGTGAGGTTGGTCATTCTGATATCTGATCTCTCATTTCCCCTTTCCTCTAGGCCGGCCACGCAGACGTACAGCCTGGAACCCTTTAGGAGCAGCAGCCCCTCCAGGGGAGCTATACCAACGGACCCTGAACTCAGAGGAAGAACGGCCCCGTCCTGCACCTCCAGACTGGTCACATATGCGTGGCATCATCAGCAGTGATGGCGAGAGTAACTGAGCTCCACCCCTCCCAGGAGGGACCCTTGACACAAATACAAAGCATACATAGCACCCTGTGTCTGCAGAGCAGAAGCAGCTTTCTTCAGAGAAGACTGCAGCCCCCAAGGACATAAGCTGTTGGGATGCTACTTCTCAGCTTCACCCTCTCCATTTAAGGTGTTTATTTTTTAAGACTCAATAAAAGGAGTGTTTATAGTCACCTCATCAAATCTGGTCCCCCATTCTCACCTCCTGTATTTCGGGCCAGAAAACTTGACTAGTAGCTACTGCCTCCACCCCCCACTCCCTTGGCCTGGTTGCCTTTAATTTCCACCAGGTTCCTGAAGTCCCTGCCTCCCGACCCTGTCATCCAGCAGCCACCAGACTCTATTGGAGAAGGGGGTGTGGCTCCTCTGCTTTTAGCCCAGTCTGATAACCTAATGCCCATTTAGGAGGGGAGTAGGATGACTTGAGGGCAGCTGGTGCTTAAGCCTTCCCCCTTCTGGAAACAGCCACTTTGTCCAGGGGCCTCGAAGGGTTGGGGAAAAGCCTAGACATCCTGGGCCAGTCCGAGCCCTCCAGGCCTCTTGCTACAGGCCCAGTCTCTGCAGTCATATCAAGTCTCCACTGGACTCTTGGCTGCTGAGGCTTGCAGGAAGATGTGAGCATGGAGCTGCCCGGGATCTGTGTAGGAGGCAAACCTTCTATGAATCTTTGAAGCCAAAGCAAAGAAAACAGGAATTACAGGTCAAGGGATTGAAGACCTTTGATAGCTGAGATCTGGTCATATCTGAAGTCATTAAAATCACTGAAGTGTTTAGATACACAGCCCAATAAATTCTCTTTTTTAAACATAAGCAGTACTATTCACCAGCCACTGAGCAGTCCTTCACGCACACCGTAGACAGAAAGGTAAGTCTTGAAGTCTGTTAGAATAACCAACAGTTTATTAAAAGCTAGCCTGGGGCTCTGTGCCAGCCCCACAGCTGAGAGGGGCTCCCACGACTGCCCCCAGGCCCGGGAGCAGCCCCTTCCAAGGTCCTTCCCTTGTTCCCCCGCCCCAGCCCTGATCCCAATTAAAAAAAAGATAAAGGACAAGACGGCACAGGACGTCAGACAGCAACAGGGGAATGGGGAGACCCAGGCATCCTGACCCCAAGACCCCATCCTGATCCTTTTTGCCAGTAAGGTGCCTCTCATTCTCCCTGCCTCAGGCCCCAGACCTGTTCTGCCCTACGGCAGGTCTGAGGGCCCCACTGTGAGGGTAGCATAGTTCTCTGAATATAATATATCTAGACCCACCCTTCCCCTCCCCCAGGGGACTAGATGAATATTTGACACAAACATCTCCCTCCTTTCCCAGGAGGTGGCGGAGGGAGACCCTGGCACCATGGTGGGGAGGCGGGGCTCCCGGGCAACCTTGGGGCACCTATGCCCAAGCTGGCCCTGGGCCACTGGCTAGCCCCAAGAAGCTCATGAGATGAGATCTGAGGGGAGCTGGAGCCAACATCCTGTCCCCTACCCTTGCTTGGGCCTCCAGCTCAGTGCCCTCCAGGGTCAGGCTCCACCCACCCCTGCCCTGCCCTGCCCGTTTAGGAAGGGAGTAGAATGACTCCCTGCTCCTCCCCACTGCACTTCAGGAATAGAAGTGGGAAGAACCATTGAGGATGTGGGAAGCGACACTGGTGCTGCGGCTCAGGGGCCCAGGCACTGCAGCAGCAGGAGGCCCCACGTTCTCACTGCCACTGCCCCCCGAAGCTGCCCGCCGCAGGGGCTGGGGGCTGTTTCTTAGCAGCAGCAGAGCTCCGCCTCGGGGTGTCCCGCTCTGTGTGGGGGGTCCCAGCCAGTTTGGGGGCCCTGGGGGAGCTAGTAGAGACGGCTGGCGCCAGGCTGGAGGGGGCATGCCTGGTGGAGGAGGGCCGTGGCTCCAGTGTGCCCCCGAACGGGGAACGGGACGGGAGGGCCAGGCAGGAGCAGGGGGTGGAGCGGGATAGCCCTGGGCAGCAGCCTCGGCTGGGATGCCCCCCAGAGCCATGCTGGAGAAGCCCAGCCTCATGCTTTCAGCATCGAAGGCCTCTATCTCCCGGGCCTGCCGTTCCAGCAGACTCCGGATTCGCTCGGAGCGCCCTGTCTGCAGAGCCAGCAGCTCCTCTTCCACCTGGGGCACCCAGAACAAAGGTTAGAGAGTCGGGTGGGGGGCAGGGGGGCAGGAGCCTACCCTCCATCCCGGGTCCTGGAAGCTGGGCCCTTTACCCGCTGCTCCAGCAGTGCCCGCCGCAGCGCGACCCTCTGCTCCAGCTCCCGCAGCTCCCTCTCGTGCTGGCTCTCCGTGCGGATCTTAATCTTGCTCTGGTAAGCGTTGAGCAGCTCCAGCTCCTGTTGAAGCTGCTGCCGAAGGGCCTGGAACTCTGCCTCCTGGGTCTCATCAAGCCGCAGCTGGAGGAGACAAAGAACCAGTTGTAGGGATCTCCTCCCCAACCCCCACTATCCTCCCCTGCCCCAGGTAGGCCTGGGCCCTAAGGTTTCAAGAAGCAGCGGTCTCAACATCTATCAGAATGGAAGATGGTCATACCCTGTGGCACAGCAATTATACTGCAGAATCTATCCCCCAGGTATACTTGCACATGTGTTCGAGGTGTTCACGGAAGCGTTGTGATAGCAAAATACTGGAAACAACCTAAATGTCCACCAATAAGGGATGGGTTAAATAAATTATGGTACAGCCATACTATGGAAAATTCTATGCTGTAAAAAAAATGAGATGGGTGTACTGACAGGGGAGGATGTCCAAGAAGTATTAAGTGGAAAAAGGAAGTTAGAGAATAGTAAATGTACAGTATGATTCCATCTTGTCTAAAATTCATATTTTTCAAAATGTGCACTGAAAAAACACAGAATACAGTTAATTATTAACAAGTTACCTGTGAGAAGTGGGACTAGGTGAGTGAACAGCCTTCGGTGGGGCGTTTCCACTCTCTACTCTCTATGTACATTATTTTTTTAAAGTGACCCACTCCAGTGTTAGGTGTGGTCATTTTTTTAGAACAGCAACTTTCAAAATCCTCCAGAAGTCTGAGTAAATGGGCTTGAGGGCAAGACACTTTAATCTGCACCCTGTTTACCCATTAAACTAACTCGGGCCCAGGAAAAAATAATAGCCACTCTTTTCCTTCGTGGTTCTTGGGAGAGTAGGCACATGGCTTTGTCAAGACCTTAAGAAAATGCTAAGAGAAAGAATAAAACCATTGAGGAGAATATGAAATAATCAAATCACCGTGGAGAACACTAACCAAGAAACAGTATGTGAGTTTCCCAAGTAAAAAAGCCCTAGCTCTGTGCATGCCCCACACTGTCTACTTCGCTAAAGCAAAGTACAGAGCCCAGCCTCTACCACGCACCCTCCCTGGGCCCCAGGCCTCACCGCCTGCGAGCTGAGCATCTCTGAGATGGACTGGTCATATTGCTCGGCCAAGATCGCCAGCTTGCGGGTCTGCTCTTCCTTGAGCCGCTTAAGGAGGCTCTTGTGCTGAGCTTTGGGCGTGGTCTCCAGCAAGTGTGCTCGCAGAGCCTTGTACTGCCGAGTCTGGATCTTACACGTCTCCTGGAACTGCTTCTTGATCTGCAGCTCCTTAGACTATGCAGTGGACGGATCAAGGGGAGATGGGGGCAGGGGGAGGAGTAGGAAAAGGAGGAGGAGGAACAACCAGGGGAAACGGGGAGAAGAGAGAGAAGGGAGGTCCTAGACTTTTTAACCACCAGATCTTATGTGAGCTCCTTACTGCTGGGAGGTATCTGCTCTCATGACCCAAACTCCTCCAAATAGGCNAAGCAGAGACAGGGAGAGGGAGAGAAACAGAAAACATGTTAGACAGAGGGGGTGGGGGGAGCTGTATACAGACAGACATGGAGAGGTGGGTTCATGTTGAGAGAGAGAGATCAGGAAGGTCTCGATGGGCAAGAGATGCAAAGAAGACAAGTTTTCAAGAGCACGTGCATGGAGTTGGGTGGGATACCCACGAGAAAGAACATCAGTTACTGGACAGGGAATTGAGGATCTTGGAAGCTCTGACCAGGCAAAGAGGGAGAGATTGTGACCTAGAGACAGAAGCACGTGAGCAAATATGAGAACGTGCACAATAACAAGAAGAACCAGTCACACAAAACACCCATGAAGAAAGCAACACAACTAAGGACAGACACAGGAAGTCCCAGGTCCAGCACCTCAGGGAGGAAGGCAGGGAAGGAGGAGAAGCACCGAGCTAGAAAGGGGTAAGAAGGGGCTGCCCCATTTTGGGCCACAGAAAAGAAGGGGGCAAAGGAGGTGGCCAAAAAGGGCCTGACAAGTTCAACCGGCCAGGAGCTGCCACCCTGACCAGATCCGCATTCCAACCCGGCCCCTCACATACTCACTCCCACTTCAGGCCCACACTGGATCCTGCTGCCACGGCCCCCATACTCCGCCTGGTTGCCCCCAGCTCAGCACCCCCTACTATGGAGGGCCCCCAACCCATTAGGGTAATGCCTGATGCAGAAGAGCAATTTGGCCCCCAGCAGCCGGGAACCACGGAGGGAACGAGTTGGGAGAAAAGGCAAGGGATGAGGAGACCAAGGGCCTGGAAACTAAGGGCTCTGGAAGGAACCCACAAACAGGGGCTCTGTGGGATCAAGAAGTTCGGTGAAGTTCTACAGGGGCCTGGGGCCCAGGCCCCAGAGCCGGTGGCGGTCATGGTACAATGAAGCTATGAAGGCATAGAGCATGAGGCTGAGGAGAGGGGCTGAGATAACGGAGGCGGGGTGAAGAGGTCATGGAGCCGGGCCAAGGGTCAGCCTGGGGGCATACCGGGGAGGCTAGGCGGCAGGACAAAGCAGACAGAGGCAGCCTGGGCCAAAGGCACAGTTCCGCTCAGATATTTTATTTGTGTTTGTCTTTTTCGTTTTTTTGGTGGGGGGGAAGGGGACAGGTTGGAAGGGAGACAGAAAAACAAAATCAAAGAGGAGAAAAAAAACATGACTCTTCCCACCCTCCGCCACCCCTGGCCCCAGGCCTGAGTCAATGAGGGTGAGGATGAGCACACACAGCGGGAGAGCAGCAATAACTTAGGGGAGGAGTGCCAGGAGAGCACAGAGTGACTGCTGGACTCCACAGCGGAGGAAGCTGCCTGTCTAGAGGTCCGAAGGGCTGGGCCTGGGGTGAGGGAGCAAACTGAGGAAGGTGGGTGAAAGGAGAGGACTGGGGACTGGAGAAACTTCACTGGATTGTGGGAAATAAAGTGCTCAATGCTCTAGATTTGGGCTGGAGTCAGCTACCTCCAGGGAGGCAAGGCCCGGGACTGTCGGGTGCGGGATCTCCGCCCGGCGAGAGTCCCTGAAAGCGGCTGGCAGGAAGCAGGGGGCCCTAGCCGGCGCTGGCTGCGTGGTAGTAGCCGGGGGATTCGGGTGGGCCGTTCACCCCGAAGCAGGCCCCAGCTGGCCAGTGTGTGGATGGCCCACAGAGGCAAGTGGGATGTTAGACCTTGGCTGGCCCGTGCCAGACGCCAGTTCCAGCCCTTACACAGGGCCCAGACCCTTGCCAACAGGGCTAATGGGTGTTGGGCAGTGCGGTGATTACGCCGCCGGGGCCCAGGGACAGGCAGGCGGCTGCGGAAGCCATCCTTGTTGGTTTTGGGGTAGAGTGCAAACAGACCCCGGTCCCCCACAGCCCCACAGCCCTGTAGGGCCCGGAAGGCCATGGGTGACAGGCGCAGCAGAACACGCAACCAGAGTCGAGATATGCCCCGGCGCACCCGGGGTCCCTGCTGCCGCACCCACCTGCCTCCTGCTGCTACGGCCACTAGAGGTAGAGCCAG